TGCTGAAGTTAGACGGTGCTTACCTATGGTGTTTTTATATAAGCAAGAATTCTTTCGAAATAAAGGTTAGTAAGAAAACAAATGATGCGTTATTTATCTTATTATATTAACATTATTCTTTTATAAATTTAGAATAATGTTAATATAATAAGATAAATAACGCATCATTTGTTTTCTTACTAACCTTTATTTCGAAAGAAATTTAATTTTGGTTTTTAAACTCGACTTTGTTGTTGCTGAAGTTAGACGGTGCTTACCTATGGTGTTTTTATATAAGCAAGAATATCGCTTTTGTTCGTTGCTGCAAATGAAAGTTTCGAAATCGTAAAATAAACATTGTCACATGACTCAATGTGGACGACAACCTATGTTTCCATTCATTTCTAAGGTTTCTAACAACAAAAGAAATCTACTTTCAGCTAGTTCGAAATGATGCAGTGGGAAGAAGGCGGACAGTTTTCATTTTGTAGAGGACATTTGGGACTATCCAACTGTGAAAAAGAGCCAAACTATTTTTACAATAATTTTTAAGGGGCGACACGGTTTTCGAAAGATTCACTGAAAAACCTACTTAGAAAAAAGACCTCTGAAATTTTCTTTTTACTAACAGATGCACCGGAATCTTTTCTATCGAATGCTAAGAAAAGCCGGTCTCTGGCTATCATTGTTGAAAAGTTATTCAAAAAATGACCGAATGCATTCTATTTTTTATGAATAATAGTTCTGTGGGTTAGAACGACAGTTATAATAATAACATGAACTATGAGAATTTTAATCTTAATATGGATAAACGAAAAGTAGAACAGAATATGTTTAATAAAGAGAATAAGGCAATTAACACTAAATGCACTTGTTCATTTCAGATGAGTGATAAACTAAAGCGGGTAGCCATTATCGGCTCGGGAAACTGGTAAATAAGACCCACATGTCGAATATTTGATTGTTTATATTTGTTTTGCTTCCATTTAAGGGGTTCAACAATCGCAAAAATCGTTGGTAATAATATCAAAAAGTTTGGCACATTTGAGAACGAAATTAAAATGTATGTTTACGAAGAAATGATTGATGGCAAAAAATTAACAGATATTATTAACCAAGAGCATGAAAATAAAAAATATTTACCGGGACATAAATTGCCGGATAATGTTGTATGTATGCCAGTGTAATAATATTAAAAGAAAAACATCGATAAGCGACTTGTTCTGAGGAGGTAGTTGAAGAGACCATTGTAGAATCTAACTCTATTTCAAATAGACAATTAACACTTAGTCTATTAAAAAAGTCTCATAATTTGTAACTGGAAAATTGTTTTTTAGTTGGCTGCTAGTAGTTTTTAGCTTCGTCACGACATTATGTTTATGTCTTGTTTAATTTTTTCGCTTTTTTTGTTTATTTTTTAGGTTGCATGTGCCGATGTGGCTGAGTCAGCTAAAGATGCTGATATTTTATTGATTGTACTCCCTCATCAGTTTATTGAGCGAACATGTTCGACAATGAAAGATCAAATTAAGAGAACTGCCTTTGCTGTCTCATTTTCAAAGGTATTTTAGTTTCTTTATGTATCGTCTGTCTTGATTAATTTAAGTGCTGTTTTCTGCATCATGGTCGGAACCAGAACAAATTTCATTCTATCATTCTAACTGTAGATGTCAAAAGATCAAAGTCTTCCAGTTCGGGAAGTTGATTCGTTATGAATACATAGCTGTTTTACCAGCAACACAAAAAATCGTTTTGAGAACTGTTTATGAAACGTTGTTCAAACAGTGAAGATGAATAGGCAAAAATCCGAAAAGTATAATTTTTGTACAAAATTAGTCTGCAAGATATGATAGTTATTAAAGTCCCCAATGTCATTCCGTTATATGTTATTTTTGCTTTTCTTTTATTAATACAGATGAACTGGAATATTTTTGAAAACGAGCATATCTTGCAGAGCAATTCTGTACAAAAATTATACTTTTCGGATTTTTGCCTGTTCATCTTCACTGTTTGAACAACGTTTCATAAACAGTCCCCAAATCGAATTTTTTTGGTGCTGGTAAAACAGCTATGTATTCATAAAGAATCAATTTCCTGAACTGAATGACCTCTCATTTTACAGTGGGATGTTCAATCTATTCGATGGCCCATTTGGAGTTTTAAATAAGGCTTTAGTCTGTTTATAATTATTTATTTACAAAAAGCAAAAAAAAAGGGGACCATTATGTGTCCAAGCCGTTTTGTACAAATAGAAGGTCGAATAAAATAAACTGAGTATTACATATCAGAGTTCAAAACTTCAATCCTCGTTTGCATTTATTTAGATTAGTTATTAGATCTATATATAGTTATTTATTATAGGGTTTTTATGTAAATAAGGACAAAAAAGTTGAATTAATATCCGCTGTTATTAATCGTCAGTTAGATATACCATGTTACGTTTTAATGGGTGCTAATATTGCCAATGAAGTTGCAGCTGGAACATTTTGTGAAGCAACAGTGGGATCAAGAAATTATGAACATGCACAATTAATTAAAGGACTTATTCAAACAGATGAATTTAGAATTGTTATTAAACCCGATACAGAAGTTATTGAAGTATTAGGAGCGTTAAAAGTATGTTTTATTATGTTTACATGCTCGTCAGAACCTCTGGGTCCAGTAGAGAATGAAGTAATCAGTGACCATTGACAGATTATACCATAGTTATGAAACACTTCTTTTTTCTATTGTAACTGCACTAAAAAGAAAGAATTGTGCTCTTCGTTGTCACTTAAATACATCACGTACAAATTGCGAAACTAAATGGGATGAGAAATGCCAATGTATCAGATCAAATATTTACAGTAATTTTGTTTAAGAGTCGTTGAATTTTTACTTATTATTATTATTTTTCTATGACAAGTCACTTTGTATTCACAATAATTATTTATTTTTCTTTTGAGAATATCGTTGCTGTGGCCGCTGGATTTAGTGATGGATTAGGTTTTGGTGATAATACAAAAGCAGCTGTCATTCGTTTAGGTTTGAAAGAAATGGTCAAATTTTGTGAAGAATTTTTTCCCGGTAATTATTCTCTTAATATTCTGTATCTTATCATTTGTTTATTTTGTTGTTTATTTTTAGGTCATCATCCACAAATATTTTTAGAAAGTTGTGGTGTAGCTGATTTAGTAACAACATGTTACGGTGGTAGAAACCGAAGAGTTGCTGAAGCATTTGTTAAAACAGGAAAAGATATCAAAACGTTAGAAGAAGAAATGCTAAATGGTAGGAGAAGTGAAAAGAGAAATTTTTGTTTTATCCATACGTTGTTTTTTTAGGACAAAAACTACAAGGTCCCGATGCAGCAGCTGAAGTTATGGAATGGCTAAAATCAAAAGGACAAACAAATAAGTATGTTACTGATAAAATTATAAGCATAGACGTTTGTTTTTGGTTGATAATCAAATATTCATGTCGTGTCTGATAGTCTCAGCTTCTTTATTGGTATTTTTGTGTAAACTGAATCGTTTATCGTTAAAATGATCGCATTGTAGTAACCGTACTACATGCATAGTCAAAATTTTTGAGTGTATTAATCAATAGGGGCAACAAATAATCTGAGTAGATCCGTACTTAATTCTTGCATGCCATTTAGGACTCTTTTGTTCTGAGACTGTTTCTCATTTCTACTAATAGTACCGACGAAAAGTTATGTCGATCTTGGTAAATAAGTGTTCACACTTTACTATTATATATTTCTGCTTGATAGCTCTGTTTAATCTAGAGAATTATTTATTGCTGTCGAAAATTATGCTCTCTCTGTTCTACTCTTTCAAACATAATGGTAAATTTTTGATTTTGTTTAGGTTTCCATTATTTTCGGCTGTTCATGATATTTGTGAACGTCGACTTGAACCAAAATTATTGCTCGAAGCTTTACGCCATCATCCAGAATATTGGTAAAACAAGATTAAACATGCTACTTCCAACTGATTCATTATGGATATTTAAATGATGATTTGTGATAAATTATAACAGAAACGTTTTTCAGTCGTTGCTTCTTTGCTTTGGGTGAATTTCGTGCAATTCTCTCGTTTTCTGGTACTCTTTTTATCATGCGTGTTTTTCGTTTATACATCTTTTTTCTTTATTTTATATTGGTTTAACCATTTTGTTTTTTGTTTTTGATAATTTTATGCTAGACACCATGTAGTGTTTTAAATTGTTCGTTTATTTTCCTTACTTTACTGCTCAAAATATGAATGCTTATAAAGTAGAAGTTGATTATCAAAAATAAAATAAAACTTTGGGTTCATTATAGATAATGTTAATCTATTGTGCTGTTTTTATAAACATTGTATTTAAATTTTACTTTTTCACTTATTTTTTGTTTTTGAACCAACATGAACGCCTTAACTCTCACAGAATACCGATTAGAAAGTTCGATAGTGTGTAACGGTAGTAGTTTTCATCCTTAATCTAATCACGTTATGTTACAATGGTTAACCGTTCGACCGGTTAATTACAATTACCGTTATGATTGATTACGGTTAATTGTAACAAGTAACAAGTTTATCAATTGTAATTATAAGTGTTACTGTATATACATTTCTTATTATCATATTCATCATCAAAAACTATGTGTGAAAACTGATTTTCATATGTATCGGGTTTGTAGTGAGAAAAATCTATTACATGGAAGATGATGTTTAAAGTCGGATCTTTCCAATTGAATTCCGTAAGCCGTTTTAGGCTATATAACAAAAAATCCATTCTATATCTCTAGTCCGAAAGCACTTGTGACCTTATAAATATTTTGATAAGTAATCCCTAGGCAAACCTATGTGAAAATATAATTAAAAGTTCTAATTTTTATTTTGTTATAATAGAACAGGTTTCGAAAATTGACCCAAAAACTGATTTCCCCTTTTTCAATCTCTACTAGAAAAAAACGAGATTCGCGGCTATACTTTTTCGATTTGGTCCATTAGGTGGTGGATTTGATGTGTTAGTTTTATTATTTTCTAGTAAATATAGTTTAAACCAACTCACTGTACCTGTATTTTATAAGTAGGCACTTTGACGTATCTCTGATAAAAAAACTTTGCGTATTGATTATATATCATTACCGAGATACAAACGTTAAAAAATGACCAATTTTTTCGATGTGGTACATAAGGATTCATTAGTATATCATCTGAAAGTTTTCAATTCTTTTTTATGATATTGGCACTATCAACATAGTGAACGTACTATTGCAATGACGTGTAATATCAAAAAACGAGAGTAACCTTTTTAACTAATAATTAATGAAAATATAATACAATAACAAATATAATAGATGGCTTACTATCTACTTAGGTCTCAGATTTGTAGTTCTATTTGCGATATTAGATTTTGATAAATTGATCTTCTGGGTAATTTAAGCAACAATAAGCATCATCTATGGTAAGAGAATGTGACTTATTTTGTTTCAATTTGTGCTTTTTCTCCCTTTCTGTAGTTTGATACCAACTAACAAATAAATTCTCACAACAGGAATACACAACGAACAAACAATTCTAACATTAACTGTAGTAGTCACTGGTAATAATGATTACGAACGACTAGAACGTTACAATTTGTGGCACCTGTATCGTCATCATAATCAATACTAATCTTTAACTAACGCATTAAAGTTAAGCTTTCTTCTTTGCCATATACATACAAAACTAAAATATAAGTAAAATGTGATTATTATTCCTGTTCATCTATTGATTTAGTTAATTTACTTCATCAAACAGAATATATCCACCATGATTTGTATCGATTGAATTGAATTCTTGCTTTAATTGTACATTATCGTCATATTCAATATCAAGAATTTCATGACCTTTTTTAAATTCTTCAAAACTAATTCGTTTATCTTTATTTCTGTCTAACTGTTGAAATACTTTACTAATATCATCATAATAAAGAAGTAAATCGATAATTTTACCAAATTCATTTAATTCAACAAAACCATTCTAATAAATAAAATTGTATAATGAAATAAGTGTTAAAAAATAGTTATACAAAGTAATTCTAACATACTCCACTAGTATCAGCTTCTTTATAAGCTCTCATTATTGCTTGTTTATTTGTACCAAACTGTGGATAAAAATATGTTACTGCACGATCAATTTCAGCTAGAGACAAATGTCCATTGCCATTATCGAATGCTTTGAATAACTAGAAAAAAAAATGAATAGTACGTGTATACTACTCATTATTACAATTATCAACAACTTTAAATTTACTTTTTTCAATTCTGCTTTATTCATTCGTTGTGACATTTTGTTATTGGGTTTAAAAAAATGGTCTCTAAAATGAAATCTAGAATATATTTAGTCGAATTAATGAAAAGTATAAAGAAATATTAGTTAACTAAAGCGATTGGATGAAGAAAGTCTGCTGGTTTTTTTAGGTAAACTATCAATAATTATTCATATATATGAGATAATCGACAAATTTTATGTGATAAAGGCGGATTAACAGATATACTCAATATATCAACCCTTCAATAGTCGTTTTTATTAAATATTTATTCAGCCTATCACAACTAACAGAGAACAATTCTTGATATTGAATAATAGTCACTATGTGACAGGAAGTATAAGATAACGTCATAGAGTATTTATAGCCTTAATTTTAAAAATATGACAACGTAAAAATAGACCAGAAGAAAAGAGAAAACATTTTCTTCTTCTTTTTCATATGAATGTCAAAAAATTCTAGTCAACATCACCGAACATTTTTTTCTTGGAAAAAATTTTTCCTTCTTACTATTCTCAAGAATGTTGTAAGATTTAAAATAAAATGAACAACATTGGTTTGTTTCTGTTGTAAAAATATTGATAATAGGATAGAATTAACTTTCTTATGTCAGTGAGAAAACCTTGAATATTTTTCTCGTTCTCTAGATACGTTGAAATGAATTTTAAATATTAAATAAACACGTATGTTTGATGAAAAGAATAAGGAAATGTTGAGTAAAAAGAAAAAAGATAACACGTCAAAAATCATCATCACTACAGTGTATGTCATATCGTCACAGAGACGCATTCAAATTATAACACATTATTAATTCTTGTTTCATATAATCTATCTTTGATGACTTCTGAACGGAGAACAAATATTATCATCCGACGAGTTTTAAGTACCCTCATATTTCAAGAATTTCAAAAAATATCGAAAGTATAAATCATGTAGAGTATAGAATGTTTCTCATTTAATTCAGAAGATATTCGCTGTCCACTGTGGATTTTGTTTATGAAATTGATCCAAATAAACCGTTGCCAAAATATAGGGAAAATACTTATAAAATTATATACTTTCCATTGTATTTTATGCACGTTTAGTTTATGACATAGACAAACGCATATTGTTTGCTTCATTGTACGTCTTACAAAGAGCTTAAAAAATATAGAGAGAAAGTTCTTTAGCCTTAGTAGTCTTTCTTCTTAGCAGGCATCAGTCTGCTTTTCAAAAGAGAGATTCAACTACAAATCAGTTGATTGCAATAATTCATGAGATATTATTAGCTTTTGACAGCAGTGAGAAAGTACTTTCTCGATTTTCGCAAGGCGTTCGATAATGTTTGGCATAAAAAGTTGCTGCTGAAACTTGAGGTAAAGGGCTTCCGCCTCCTTTGCTTGAATGGTTTGCTAGCTACCTATCTGACAGAGAAATACTGACTATGGTAGAGGGAGTATCCTTATCAGCAAGGGCGATTGATAGAGGCGTACCGCAAGGGAATGTTTAGAACCTCTTCTATTTCTCATCTTATAGATGATATAATGGAAAGGGTCAAGTCACCTATGAAACTCTTTGCTGACGATGCCTCGCTGTACCAGATTACAAAGAGAAATGATATACAAATAGCTGCATATCAGAGATCTTATCCTCATATACGACTGGTCGGTAGCGTGGAAATTGCATTTAAATGCAAGTAAATGTAAAGTCATGTTATTTTCTACTCGGCCTGTTTCAAGTTCTTTGCACCAAATCTATTCAGATAAACATATCATTCCGTATGTTTCCCAGCACAAACACTTGAGACTTGTAGTCAAATCCAATCTTGACTGGACGGCACACGTCGATTATGTCATAGTGGCGGCGCCAAGATTTTTCGGGTGCCTAGGCTCAGCCCATAATTTTTCAAAAATCTGTTTAGAATTTTTACGTGACTATTGCTAATGAGTACTCTGTTTTCAAATTTTTGGGTGGTTGGGCTCAGCCCACCCTAGCCCTTCCCTGGCACCGCCACTATTATGTCCTACGCAAAGTGAATCAGTTAACAAGTCTTTTAAAATTACAAACACGTGCACTATCTCGACAAGCATTGAACCTCGTTTACAAATCCTATATTGCTCAGCAATTCATTTACGGATCTGCTATATACAATACCAGAAGATTTTCAGTTACGTCGCTCTGATTTATCACTAAATAAAATCTTTGTCTCTCTCTCCAAATACTCACATTTCAGTTGGATGACATACGCGGATTGCCTAGCACAACTAAATTTATCATTTGCGCTCTCTCAACAACAACCTCTCATCTGTGCATGCTCTCTTTAATCTTTAACTTTTACTTATTTACCTACTTTAATCATTTTAAGTTTGTCTTTCTTTCTTTTTTCTGTTCCTGTTTCTGTTTTTTCTGTAATAAACAATAGCTTAGATCAAGTTCTTTATTTCAAAGAAAAGGTGTTACTGAGGTGGAGAAAGTCAAAGTTATTTTCCACATAAATTATACTCATTTTTTTATTCGCTTATATTTGTTTGATAGTTTAAGGTGTTCACTGTCAGAATCAACCTTGATTTGGACTTCATCGAAGATTTCTTAACGGATTTCGAAAGGTTTTTAAATACACTTAAGAACTGAGTATTTGAAGAATAGTGCTCTATACATAGAAGGGCGAACCATGAATGATTTAAAGGTACTACTTCTTCCTCTTTTTTTACCTTGTTGCCAAATATGGAATACATGTGCGATTGAGCTCAGATTTATACCAGAGACAGAACAACGGAGAAGAAAATCGATCTACTTTTGCTCCGAATTTTGTGATCTTCTATGAATGTTCTGGAGATCCTATAAACGGTTTTCATCTACTCATATTACGACCATTCGAAAAAATGGTACGATGGAGCTGAAATTTTTGAGTTGCTAAAAATTGCTTTTTCGTATTCAGCACACTCAATAACCCATAAAATTTTCTATTTTTGGCGAGAGGTACTTCCAAAAGTTTAGGAAAAATTCTGAAATAAAAAACCTTTTTGAGTAAAAAAATTTTCATGGGGATATAATATTAGTTTGAAAATGTTTCTTAAACTTTTGGAAGTATCTCTCGCCAAAAATAGAAAATCGTCTGATTTATCGAGTGTACTGAATAAGAAAAAGCACTTTTCAGCAACTCAAAACCAACTTTACTTTTTTTTGGTGATATGAACTGACTTTTTTTGCGTGGTTTTTAGCATTTTTTGAATATCTCGAGAAGAAAGGCATATTTTTCGAAGAGAAAGAAACAAACCTGAGATAGGGTCTGAAGTATCTATGATGAATATTTCAATTCGATCGGCCCATTTTTTTTTAGGGTGACCTAATGTGACTAGGTGGAAAACGGGATCACCAGAAAATCCAAAGAAGATCATGGGACAAAATTCTGAGCAAAACTAGATCGATTTTCTTTTCCGCTGTTCTACCTATGGTATAAATTTGAGCTCAATCGGACATATACTCCGTTAGTATATCTAGATTTGTAGTTATTGAAAGCAAGAACTGTTGTCTTGCTAATTTCAACGTTCACCAATATGAAGATTAAAATACTGGATTAAATATTCTCATCTAATAGAAATTTTTAAAATTTCTCTTGAGCAATTTGGCAATAAGATGGAAAAAGAGAGAGGGCTAGCTACCCTTAAAGGTTTCAGATTGTAGAACAAACATTTCTGTTCAAACCAGGACTATCTATCAACTCTAAAAGATTGTTGAATCAAAAGTTATGAGAATTATAAGAGAAGTCTTTGGCTTTTATTGCTTTCAGAAACTTTTTGAAGGAAAATATCCAAAACTCTACGTGGCTCTACGTCATGTTGAACATTTTTATTTAATACCGCTGGTAAAACGCAGTTCGCAAAAATATCGTCTGCTACCACCGTCTAATCTGAAACCACTCGGTATATCGCCGATATTCTCCACACATCGGTGCAGAGAATACCGTTTGGTACACCATTTCAAATTTATTCATGTTTTTGTGCTAGGCTCATATGCAGATACACTGAAGTTATTGAACGAAAAAGACACTCGTATACACAAGTCATTGTTTGTTTGTTAGTTTTCGTCCTATAAACGAATATTTCTCTTAGTAAAGAAATACGCAAACATGTAGAAAACGAATAATAAACAATATGCACTTCATTTTTTCCACAACAAATATCATCAAAATTTCCGCATTTTGTCTGATAAACCGGAACAGTATGACGTACATGTAGTTCACAAAATATTTATGATGTCGAGAAGAAAAAATGTGATCATAAACAAAAATTATAATCTTGTAAACAAACTACCGTTACAAAGATAAGAAATTGAGCAGAATTGTAAAACAATCGACTTCAAATGTTTTTTTTCGCTTGTTTATGCTCTGTAGTTTTACAGAGCTGAAATAGAGATGTGCAATCCGACCCTCAGATTAGGTATAGGTCTGAAAATCGCGCCCGTGTCCCTATTGAATCTAAAAGAGCGACTGTGTTCTTCAAAATAATGTTGAAAGTTATGTGTGATTATTTTCTAATGGATATATATAATGCTGACGAACTATTGTTTTGCTCTTTGATATTGGGGCGCCCACGAAATATCGACTCCTAATTGTTTAGCTGCTTTCAACGGGAAATGAGAATCCCTCAAAAATTCTCTTGCAATCACAATTAGATCACCTTGTCCTTTTTCAATAATATCATCAGCTTGTTTTGGATCAACAATCATGCCGACTGGTGCTGCCAATATTTTTGTACCAAACTTCTTTTTAATCGCATCAGCGAACGGTACCTGGTAACCGAGACCAACTTTTATCACTTGTTTACTACTATTACCACCACTACTTGTGTCAATAATATCCACTCCTAAATCCAATAATTTTTCAGTTAGTATTAAAGTATCATCAATTGTCCAACCATCGTTGCCCACCCATTCGTCACAAGATAAACGCACAGATAAAGGTTTTTCTTCAGGCCATACTTGACGTACACGTTCAGTTAATTCTAATAGTAAACGAATTCGATTTTCGAATGAGTCACCTACAGAGAAAAAGTAAAATTATATGGTAATAAATAATAGACTTGCTTTTCTTCGTAACAGGTTACTCTTATTTGTTTTGAATATTGTTAAAAGTATTCACGTTTCTTACCATATTTGTCCTGTCGATGATTCGATGTTTGACTTAAAAATTCTGCTAGTAAATATCCGTGTGCTGCGTGAATTTCTAAAAAATCGAAACCACATTGAATTGCACGCTTCGTCGAGCAAATGAAATCATTTTTAAATTGTTCTATCTCATCGAGTGATAATTCTTTTGGTATAATCCAACCTTCAGTCCACGGTAAACTACTGGGCGCAACAACTTCATCCGGCCATCCACCTTCTTCCCTCTCAAAATACGCCTTTTCACGATGTGTGGGATCAAATGGTGGTTTTGTTGACGCTTTCCGACCGGCGTGTCCCAACTGAATTCCAGCAGCTGCATGTTGAGAGTGTATGAAATCGACAATACGTTTCATCATTACCATTTGATCATCTTTCCAAAGTCCAGCATCGAATGGACTTATACGACCATGTGCTTGAACAGCAGTGGCTTCTTGAATAACGAGTGATGCTCCACCGATTGCAAATTGACCTAAACATGACGGTTAGCCACTATTTTTTTCAGAACAGAAAAGATAAACTTTTTATCAAAACTTGAATCATTTTTAATTTTCAAACTGTAATTACCTAGATGAACCAAATGCCAATCGTTCAAATAGCCATCTGTTGAACTATATTGACACATTGGGGAGACGACAATACGATTTTTTAATGTTAAATTACGAATTTTTAACTCTTGAAACAAGGGTGGTAGAGGTGAAGAAGATGTTATACCAACTGGAGGACACTTTGGCTGGTATGACCAGGGTAACTTTGAATGATTAACAAGTATTTCATTGTGAAAATCTGACATCTAAAACGACGAATAAAACGTGTTAAATAATTACTTAATAAATAAACATTAAATACTTGTCGTATATTTAAAATTTTTAAAATACTCTTTCCATCATTTAAAACTTTAACAGTTTTCATTTGTCCAATTAGCACGTTGATAAAACAAAGAATTGTTGGTATTTATTTAGAAAAAATCATACTAATCTATAATAACATCAAATGAAGAGTCATGTATCGAGTTGTGCTGTTTTATTTAAAATAATCTGTTATGTTCAATTCAAAGAATTGTACTACAATATCCTATACTATTGTATACAATCTTTTATGAACAAGTAAAATCTTGTAATATGATTTTAAAAAAGTTGGCTTTTTGTATGAGGCTTGTCTATAAAATCTTCCAAAAACCCATAGGCTGTAGATTTCAGAAAATGTTTTCTTCTCTTTATCACCAATAGAGTGTGAAAATGGCCTAAATGTCGTACATTCTGGGAGTCATTACATCAGTATTCTTGAGTAGCCTTTAAAATTAAGTGACACGTCTCGACCTAATTACAGTAAATGTTAGTTTAATTTGCTGTGTTCGAATCAAAAGTCTGAACTTTATTTACAAATTATGTCTTTGTTCTGATTTAAGTTTGTTCAAGATTTAAGCGAAGTCACCCATTCCGTGGCTTGAAGAAAACCCAATGCTTCACTCGAATCACAGAAGCACATGGCCTCATTTGTTTGTTTGTTGTTGTTGTATTCAGGTAAAACTTTGCACTTTGGTTTTGGAGAATTAAACTGTTTTCCTAAAAGTTCTGTCAAAGCCCACTTTCGAAAGAGGCAACAAAAATATTCTAAAAAGTTTATTTGTACTTAAATCTACATTGTTTTTAATAGCGTAGGTACGAAAATGAGAAATCCCCAAAGAGCACGATTCGGATGACATCAGATAAAATCGTTGACATGCTTGCTCGGAGAAAGGAATTTAAACTATTAAAACTATAACTAAAACCAATCTGAAATTGCAAAAAAATAAAGGCAAAAATATTGGAATAAATTGAAAGTCAAGATCATTTGAGAAATCTACTCTTGATTTTTACTTTCCATCCACTTGCTACCTGTCCTTGAGTGTGCCGTGTAGCTTTTTGTAAAACAATGTATAGCACAGGTTCATCTATAATACAGATGAGTTGTATGGATTGGATTCAAACTTTCAAGACCACAGACTAATCCGGACTCGAAAAAAAATTTTGGATTCACTTGAATCACGGAAAAATCAGAAAAAAACAAGTTGTGTTTGTATTGTGGACTGGACTACGCTTTTAAAGTTCATGGACTACAAAAAGTGTTTTTCACAGACTCAGACTCAGAATTTTGAGTCCACACGGAGCTCTGATTTGTATACCTGTGTGTATTGTGAAGTGAGCAGCCATTAACGTCATATAATTTGTTTGTCATCATGTCTGTCATTAGCCAATGAATAAACCTTTTACACACCTTTCTTTTTACACTAGAGCTATATAGCAAATAAGTAGTCTAACGTTAGACTACATGCACATTGCACATCGTCGTTTCTTTCTTTTTTGATGTGCTAAAGACAGAAAATGGATAGAGAAGAAAATTTTCATCGTAGTGTATGAAGAAACGAAAAAATGAAAAGGCGTAAAGAGAGCAAAATTTTGTTGGGTAGGTCTGTTATATTAACAGTTTCAAGACTGGCAGCAAGGCGCTATTGACAGTCCAAAATACACTTCTACACTGCACAAATATGTTATTCAATAAAGACCATCATCTCCAGGCAATATGGAAGCATTCAGTGGCTCACTCTCATGCAGGGCCACCTGATCCACCCGAAACCACCTCTCATAGACTGTCAGATTCAGAACTAATTCAACATAACACATTTATACCGTGTGTAAGTGCATTTTGAACTGTTGATAGCTCTTGTTACCAGTTCAATAGGGTGTCAGTAGTTCCTTGCTGCCAGTCTTTGCCCAAGTCAACTTTCGCGATGAAATCGCGGGGCGACTCGCGCTAAAAAATCGCGCCGCGATCGCTATAAGACGCGATTTTAGCGATCGCTATTTTGTCGCGATATACTACTGAATGGGATGTATATTTGGTATTCTCGCGATGTGATCTTGCATGGAACTACGTACACTAACATTGTCGCGCTGCGATTCTTGCTTACGCGACGGGAGTCAGCGCGACTCGCTATTTGTCGCGGTGTGAATCCCGTTGTCGCGACGCGATTTTAAATGCATTCGCTATTTTTCTTTTCTTTGCACTCGTACAGTGATTGCTTTCGTTACTAGTATCGTTTGAAAGCTATTTTGCTTGCTACCAGATTGTTTTTTAACGTCTCTAGGCACAAAGCATAGATCTGTAGGTGGTATTACTGATAGCTGGGAAATTGGCTAAATCGTAACGAGCACAAAGATCCATTAAAAATTCGCCATTTATAGTCAATGCAAATGAATGTTTTTATGGTCTTGTGCTTGTACATGATTATTTGAAACATAAGTGACCGTTTTGGCTAAGAACACTAACCAAAACATTTAATAGTCTTTTAATTTTTCACATGAAAAAGTCACTGTTTTTAATACAATCTTTTTTAAAATGAAAATAAAGCAACTTTAGGGAATTTTGACGGCATAATATGAAATATATATTTCATGTTGAAGCTTGTTCGAGGATGCAGTTCAGAACATGCCAGAAAGTCA